AAGAAATTCTAAAAATGGATGCAAAAGGACTGTTTTTTCCCTGCTTAACAATATGTAGAATTCCATAACAGCCCCTGCTGCTGCTCGAGAACTTGCGTGATCTTCCGTACCTGACCCGGGGTCCTTCTGATGCTCGTTTGATCGAAAGATTATTGTTTTCTTGTAGGGCTCAGCATGACGATCATTTTGATACCAACTTCAAGCCACGGATCATGTTTTTTAGCCTTGATCATGAGACTTGAATTTTGGATGATGAATCTTGAAAACTTCGGATCGATTGTGTGCTCGTTCCTTAATGTTTCTTCATAACTTCTTCATCGAATCACACTGAGCATGCCGTCATGATCATGTTGCAACAAGCATAGCTTGATTTCGTGTCCGGAAGAAGATTTTGTCATCTTGAGTTTTTGGCCGGAATCTTGAAATCCGGTAGCTGGAATTTACAACAGCTTTGACGCCTTCGTATGTGAAATCCAACGATTCATCGTATGCAACGTTTGGATCAGAGGTATCCTCGGACTTCACACATATAATGCAATTCGTTTCGTGTTGATTGGGTATGCGAGCATCGTGATCTGGCTACTTGAACATGCTACTATTGAATTTTCTTTAACTTCCTTCACAAATCAGCGACTTTCATTTAATTTCTCTCGGCCCGGGTGTCGTCACGGGGCGTACCACATATCGAATTGCTCATCTTAATAAGATGAACACGATCACCAAATTTGGGAACGATCCGACTTCGAACGAGTGAAATATAGGCCCCGTGACTGCCTGTGATTGTAAACACAGCAACCTTTAATGGTGTTTTGATGGAGTGGGGCCACACGGGAATAGTGTATGGCCTACCCCTTTTCGGTATTTCACCCATAACTTTGTTTTGGAGTGCTCGATTAAGCCGAAACTTGACCCATAAGGGTTTTCGACTGTGTCGAATCTAATGGCAGTGGTCCCACAGCTGTTTGATGTACCAAAAGTATGGCTCTAGTTATCGGGTCTATTTCAGGGTACTAGAGACCGATTTCGCTGAAATTGTTTCTTTGTGTTCACTGCCTTAGACATGTATGATCGCAATGAAACTTGGCAGGTGGTCTTTTGAAGTGCTGACGAAGATCTTTGACCAATTCTAAGGCCATTTTGAGACTGTCAAGAATTTCCATTGTTTTTTAGGCTTTATTGACCTGCTTCCTATCAGGGACTAAAGTGATGAAAAATATGTTCAAACACTCCACATAGAGGCTTTTATTGATTGGCGTAATGCTATTGAGAATTATTTTGAATAGAGTGAATTGCCAAATGAGCATAATGCTAAATTTGTTGCAACTAAACTCCATGGGTATGTTGTGGCTTGTTGGGAGCAAGTTCAACAATTTCGATTTTCGTAGTAGAAAGACAAAAATTACATGATTTGTAAAAGATGAAAAAGAAATTAAAAGAAAATTTTCTTCATGTAGATTATAAGCAAATTTTTTTTAAGAACTCCAAATTCTCTGACATAGTGAAAAGAAAGAGAAGAATTATACTAAATAGTTTTATCGATTAGTAGCTCAAAATAACCTCCAAGAGACGGAAGGACAAAAAAGTTGCTCGACATGTAAATGGGCTCCAATCAACCATTAAAGACGAGGTCTTTCTACATCAGCCATGGACCTTAAGTTCAAGAAGAAGATCAAGTTCCAGAAATAATCTTGCATGTTGATGAAGGGGATGCAATTTGAATCTAGCTCGAGGTTGAGCTTCTCCCAACCCCTGAAAAATGATGTAGCTAAAAAATAGGAAAAAAAAATTGATTTACATTTTTTAGGAACTGGGTAGGATATGAAGTTTCTAATTTTTAGGGTTGACGTGGGTATTTCTTGCTTTCTTGATAAGGCTCATGGATGAGGTTGGTGAGGGTTAACGTGGCTTAAAATGGAAAAGTCATATTTTCTTGGAATTGAGATTTAGTTAGAGATTTATGGGGTCTCATGTTAGGAGAAGAAAAGATTGAGAAGAATAAGAGATTTGTATAAGAATTGAGATATTTAAGGGATTTAAATATGGGAAGATTAAAAGTAGGTAAAGATCGAGAAAAGTGAGAGGAAAAATAGGGTGAGAGAGAGAGCGTGAGAGAGAAAAAGAATTTTATGTTTTTTTTATTATTTTTGTTTTTTATTTCTTTTTATTTGTATTTAAGCTAAGGAAGTCCCTCATTGTGAATAAAGTGATTGGTGATTTAATAAAGAGTTTGATCTTGTGAAAATATATTGGGGTGGACTCCCTTGCAGACCCAGAGAGATAATATAATATATCAATTTTTTGAATTTTTTATTTCTGATTTATTGTTTTTTCTCCCTGTATCAGTTTTTAGGATCAACTAGGGAAGATTTAGATCTGAAATAGGCTTTTGGTGGTTTTCTGGGTTGCATGCTTGTTAACACGCAAGTGTGTTCATAAAGCACGTACTTAGGGTGGTTTCTTGGAAAGTATGGGCAGAAACAGAGTTTATGTAGTAACAAAGCACGAATGCATCTTGACAAAAACATGCACTCAGGTGGTTTCTTAGGCGAAAAGGGCTTTGAGTGCTAACAAAATACGCCTGCCTCTTAACAAAGCTCACATTGAATTGTATTAACATGTTAACACAACATGAACAGGGACCCAAATGGAAGTTTTGTAAACAAATGTGCTTGGGTCATAACTTCCAAACTGAATGTCGGATTTGAGCAATTAGACGGTACGACCTCCTTTAGAGTGTGGATTTATGTTTGGTCCATTTTCAGTGAGTTTTATGGGACCTACAAGGTTGGACTTTGGGGTAGCTTTAGGATTTTGGGTGTTGAAGGTATGTACGGGTTTGTCTTCTATGTTTTTAGGCTCAGGGGTATATAAGATAACAACTTTGAGGTATGTTTTTAGGCTCAGGGGTATATAAGATAACTACCTTGAGTGTTAGTGAGTTTACGGTCCCAAAAAAGTGATTAGGTTAAAATCCCTACAGTTTCTAAAGTTTTCAGTTTCTTGAAAGTCCCTCAGCCGAAAAAGAGTTTCTATAATCATAATAAGGAAACTCTAAATTAAGGGCTTGGCTATATCTAAAGTGTTGTTGGAGCGGCTTTTATGGTGTTGATCACAATGGGTTCTAATGATTTGTTTGGATGCCACATTTTATGTGTGTTTTAAGTGTCTTGCTTTTAATGAAGATTGCAATTGAATAATATATGCTCCCAAAGGAGCATATTGCCCATTCACTCTCTTGGGTCAAATTCCAATTATAAGTATGCCAAGGACCTGTTTAGATGTATTTGTTATGACCTATAATTTACAATTTCAATTAAATATTCCTGGTAAAGAATTATATGTTGTTTGGTAGGACCCATAATAAGGTTATTTGAGATAACTTTATAAATATTTTTACATCTAAAGTTACCTTTTTTTAGAGGACTTTTTTGTTTCATTCAAAAGTACTTTGTTGAACTCATCTGTTTTTGCTAGAATTAACTAAAATAGCTGGAAATCACTAAAAAAGTGAAATAATAAAAAATAAGACACTATCAAGCAACTCACAAAAATAATATTATCCATAATATATTAAATTATATAAGATAGTAAATTCCAAATAAAATTAAGGGATATCAAAATATCCAAAGAAAACAAATTATTCAACATTCCTTTTCCAATTATTATAACTCATGATTAAGTTCTTTGGTAGATATGTTTAAATTAAATCAAAAGATATGTATCGAAGTTTGAATAGTTCATCTCTTATAGGCATTTGAATAAATTTTTCTTAAGATAAATATCATCAAAACAGGCCCACATGTGCTGAGTAACAATATCTCCTCATTTGCCTGCCGCCAATCCTCGGTCACACATTGTCGGCCTCTAATCGCATAATGCCATCTCTCAGTCATGAAACATTGTCTCGTTCATGCACTACGGTTCTATGCCCAGTAGACTGCATTCCACCGGTCACCCCAAGGTCCCCTCTAGGATCCAAGACTGTCAGGTCCCTAGCTTCCTCCTATTAGTTCTCACTTGTCCGTGTTGTTGGTACCCCTGCACCAGGCCCTCTAGACCTTGCTGCCTACACACACATCACACGGGTCACATGAGGCTTATGGAGAAATGGGGTTTGACAATCCTTCCCCACCTAAACTCCAACGTCCTCGTCGAACGCTCGGCCTTTATTGGGTCCCCATAAACTTTAGCTCCTACCAACGCCTAGCTCCACACAATGGTTGTGTCCATTTCAGCCACCGAGCCTCCCAATCATGCACACACGGTCAAGTCCTCGTTTAGCTACCATTGACCCTATTGAGTGGTCAGCTCTCCCGCCACCACGTCCCACTTACCACTTGCATGGTTTGTACCTCATGCCACAACTATATCTATTTCATGGCTAGGTCCATTGATGCTGCCATGACCAATGTTGTTTCCCGTGGATGTCGTCCAAGTGCTCCTCTTGGGTCTTGACACGAACTTCGTGCCTTCATCATAATGCAAGTAGCTTCTACTGTACTCAAGGTGGTCTACATGATCATCGGTACGTGACCAATTCCACTGCTGCCACCATGCCCCATGCTTGATACAATCTGTCACATGGGATTTTCATCGCCTAGCCCATGCATCCTTGGCGTCCAAGCGGGCAATACTTGGATGCCAGGTTCAGCCTTGCTCAGTGTCACCGCATAGCGGAAGAGCATACTTACAAGGGTAAAGTGTAGCCAATCCTTGGTCATGCATTGGCATTGTGTACCGCCATCTCTCGGTCACGCACCACTACCTCCCTCATGCTCCACGATCTTATGCCCTGTCGACTACATTTCACTAGTCACCCCAAGGTCCCCTCTAGGATCCAAGATTGCCAGGCCCTCGACTCGACTTCCTCATGTCAGTCTGCACTATCTGTACGATGCTAGAGAAATCCTGAGGCCACCAAGCGATAGATAAGAATGGATCACCTATTTGTGGGGGAGTAATTGTACATCATGGTCTTTGGGAGTACAGATACGTGATCAAATTATGGAGAGCTCAAAATAACGGAGAAGGATTCCGGTGTATGAATAACCTATTCGGTACCCCAATGGTGCGTCCAAACAGTTCCAAGTTTCCCCTCAAGAACGGCAACACCACTGATTTTATACAAGTATCACCTGTGTTTCTTTGTCTCACTTGAACTTAGCGGGATTTGGGAACAACAGTCTCCTCGAAACGCCACGCCCTATCTCGCTGTGGGCGTTAGTGTCCCCAAACAAACAAACCCTAATATCGTTTCTTCTTATCACTCACCGCAGTAGCACAACCAAGGGTTAGGGCTACCACCGAACGACCCGCAAACCTGGTACCATCGCTCTCTCTCTCTCTTAACTTTTTGTTAGTGGGCATTTGTTGCAGATATTGGGTTTCAGCAGTGATCAGAGGCAAGTTGCGCTCCTTTTCCCTTCATTCATTTACTTTACTGATCTCTTTGCATTCTTCTCTCCATAGCTCTCTGCTTTTTACTCCTTTAGTCGTGGTTGTTTGGTGCGCAATCTATTAACTTCTTATTTTTTATTTATTTTCCCGATTCATCTCGTCTTTCTACGTATTCATGTTATACTTGCTCCGTTATGCCCTTCGTTATAAGTGGTTATTTTATATTTTCTTCTGAATTTTTTTTGTTCATTTCGTTTGATAACCCACATAGAGCAATGGGTTCTCTTGCGTTCTTATGTTTCTAGTTATTTCGTTCTAGGAATGGTTTTTTTTGTATTCTTCTTCTTCTCCTCTCTTTCTCATTGCCATCTTCCTCTCTGTATATTTTTGTTTCAATTTTTTTTTTTAATTAGGATTTATCCTTTCGACTTCTTTGTTTGTGAGTATGTGGTAGTTTGAATATGTGGATTCTTTCTCGACTCCCTCCTTCCCCCATGGTTTGGGTTTCTTTAAAGGTGAATATTGTTTGGATTGAGTTTTATCAAAGTTTCTTTAAAGGTGAATATTGTTTGGATTGAGTTTTACGTCTTTGATATGGATTGGACTGGGTTGAAAACTTTTTGATGTTATAGTTGAATTAATGGTTTGGATTTCTCTCAAGGGTGAGGTTGCCTCCTTATACCGTAGAAGTAAGGAGCACCTCTAAAATATGCTTAGAGATTTTGTTCCGGCATTCGAAACCTTATGATGGCTTGAAATCAATTCTTATTTTTAATTATAAAATTTAAAGTTTACAAAATGGTATAGATCGAGTGGATCAATAAACACTTAAGAATTGTGAAAATAGACATTCTAGATAAGGTGTCAAGATGCACTATTGTTGGGATTTGGAATTCTTCTTTTTTTTCATGTCCATACATCTCGAAGTAGAGATGATCATCTTCTATAGGATTTTTTTAGGCATACCTTACTTCAATAGTATAAGTATTGCAACCATATATAAACTCTTTCCTTCTATTAATGTAAGTATTGTTTGTGTAGAGTTTTCCGTCTTTGATATGGATTGGAAAATATTTTATATTCTAGTCAAATTATTCTAATATCTGACTCTCTCTCTCTTCACACACACACTCACACTCACATACACCTCCCCACCCACCCACGCATACACATCCACAAGGAAATGATGTTTCATAACTTCATATTGTGTTTCAGGCCTGCTATCTTAGATTGGTGTTTGCCTTTAGTTTTTGCATCAGCTTGGTGTTGGTTTTAGCCTTTTAGGTGTGTTACTTTAAAGAAATCCCAAAAACAAAAAAGTAAGGATAGGATTGGCTTTGTGTTGTTTAAGAATGTTTTTATTTTTGAGATTATGAAGTGATCAAAGCTCTCTTTTTTTTTAATGGTTATGGGTTCTTATGGAAGGGGTTGTACACTATGGGACCATTTACTTTATGTGAGATATAAGGACGTTACAATCACCTATAACCATCAAATATGAAATTTGACCTTGTGGGATATATCACTAAGGACATAAATTTTCTTCGGGTCTAGAAGCCTAGTCAATGCTACAACTTCAGCCATTGGATTCCACGGCCAATAGTCGAGGGTGATTGTTACCTCTTACCAAAAGTAAATGATCATATTTTATGCTTTTCCTTTATGGAATAATACTTGTTAATGGACCAATAAAAAGAAGGGTTGTGATATTTATAAAAGCATGATTGAGTTTTTTTGTCTTTCTTTAACTTCATGAAAAGCCTAAGCTTCAATTAGGGAATGATACCTCTTCCACTCCGTGGTCCCTTGTATTTTTCCTCCCTCGCGTTTCCTAGTTTCTGGGCTTGCATATTTCTATGAACAAGCAATGATTCTCATTATGGTTTCTTGGGGTACTAGGAAGTATGGGAACTAAAATATTTATTCTCTATCGAGGATTTATCATGCTTTCTCTCTATGTGCTACTTTTCAAAAACTTGAACGGCTTCTTGACTGCCAAAAAATGAGCAACTTGCCTAGTCAAATAGTTAACTTCCAACAGCTTGGCAAATTCTTCAGATTGATATGAAGAATTTTAGGAAAAACAAAACATCAATATGGGAATCGTTCCCAGCTTGTCACCTGAGGCATTGCGATGCTTACACACTAGAAGAGACCATGTATTGGTCAAACAAAATTGAAAATAAGAAAGAATCAGATAGATCCCTAGTTTTTTATTTATAGAACTCACCAATTGAACTAGTCAAGTTCACTTAGGCAAGTTTGTCGATATTCACGTCTATGCATATAACATGCCTTGCCAAGAGAGCCTACTAAATCAGATTTAGGGTTCTTTATAAAATTAAATGCTTTGGGGTCATGTCTACGATATGTATAAGAGTCATATTCTCAGTGCAAGACCTAAAAAAAAAAAAACTCACTCCAATGTTGAAATTCTTCACTCTTTTTTGGCATCCAGTTGTTTTAGATTGTGGGTTAATTGATTTGCGATTCTTTGCATTAACACCATATTTATGTATTTTTTTTATTTATGTATCCAGTGTTATGAGTTTTAATTTTGATGGGAAATTTGCTGCTTGGGCATGCTCTTCATAAGAAAGGGTTTAGCATATTATTTTATCAAATTGTTCTTTATGCATGGTGCTTTTATGCTGATAAGCTACATGGTTATAAAATTAATATACTATGAGACACCTCTAGTTTACTCCTAGACAAATGCAGGGATTATGAATTATGGGTAGTCAACCACTTGAAAGTAATGCAACAATGAGAAGGCTAGAGTGGACACCCACTTGGGATGAGTTTCTTGTTGGCCTAATGGTCGACGAAGTAAACAAAGGGCGAAAGGGAGACAAGGGATTCACAAAAGAATCGTGGAACTACATAGTCAGTGAGTTTAACAAGAAATTCAATGTAAACCTCAACCAGCAGCAGCTTAGAAGCCGCTACAATTACTACAAGAAAGAGTACAAAATTGTCAAGACTCTTCTTAGCCAGAGTGATTTTGGTTGGGATGAAAGCAGAAAGATTGTGACGGCTGAACCTGAAGTCTGGGATCGCTACATATTGGTATGTTGGATATGTAATAAAATTCCCAAATTGTATGCCTCGTGTGAGTACCTTAATGTTCTACGTGCAGGCACACCCTGAGGCTAAACAATACTTAACGAAGGGCTTGCCACTGTTGGGAGAAATGGGCAAGATAATTGGAAATTCAGCTGCTGATGGCAAAGCTTTACCATCAAGTCATCGTGGAGAGGTGTTGGAAGAAGCCGCGAGAGGAATGGTAGCTCTACAATCAGAGAATGAGGAATCAGATTCAAGTGAGGATATGAATGCATCATATCAACGCTACAAGCGTAAATATGTGACACCCACTTCCTCGTGTCATAGCAAAAAAGAGCGAAAGGGCACTGATCTGGCTGCTTTGGCAGCGGCCCTCCAGGAGATGGCAGCTAGTTCAAGGTTTAGGGCAAGTCTTATCACGGGTGCTAACTCAAAACAAGAGTTAAAAAATTGTATAGAAGAACTACAGACCATGGAAAACTTGGATGATGTGCTGTTTGTGAAAGCATGCAAAATGTTAAAGGATGAAAAAAATGCTCTTGTATTTATGACGCTTAAGGGCCATCGCCGGTTATTATGGGTTAAAGAGATGTGTGATGCACTGTAGCTTCTGTGTCCGCACTTCATGGAGTTTATGTTTTATAATCACCTTTTTCTTTGCCCCATTTTGGTGTGTCTTTGGAAGAGATGAACATTCGATGTACTTGTATATTTCCTTTTGTTCCCCCATTTTGATCTACATCTTTTGGAAGTAATGAACATATATTCTTGTCTTTGACATTTTGATAGAGTTTTTTGGATGTCATTAACTTGTGAATGTATTCGTGTATTTCTATGTTTCCCCATTTTGATGTATGTCCTTTGGATGTGATTAGCTGGTCGATGTACTTGTATACTTTTTATTTGTTTTTGCCATTTTAGTGCATGTGTTGATTTAAATGATGAACATGTCGATGCACTTTGTTTGCTTTTGGAATTGGTTTTTGGAGGAACATCAGATATTTTTGATGTGATTGACTTGGTAGTTTGACTTACATATGTGAGTCTGAACTGGCTCGATATTCCCTCTCTCTCTCTCTCT